CATTTGTAAATAAACACTTTGCTCTCTTTGCATAAAAATGGCCAAGGAAAAACGATACAGCAGGCTGTCTTCGCATAGGCTTGGTTCAAAAGCGAGAATATTTGAGCCGTAAGACAGCGTGCATGAGTTTGCATGCAAATTTCTAAGCACTAAAGAATTAAACAAAGACGATATGTCGGCAAATATATATGTCGCCAAATTGTGTTATTTACAAGTATGTACCATAAATGGGGATAGAAAGGGTAAAAAAATGGTTTAATAAATTTGCGTTTATGTGCTCACAAACATCAGGCCACCCCTGCAAAAGTTGATACCCCAGTTAGGAAAGTCTGGACACGCCCCTAGGGAGGAGTCAAAGACAGGGAGGTGAAAAGAGCCACATGTTAAATTGGAGTCAGAGTGACATTAGGAGAAATGTGTTAGACTGCAAAAGTGAATGACTCATCACAAAAAAAAGATGTTCAAAATAAACTAAAGTTTTTAAATAAATATAGAGGAGTGGGGCGCCAGTAGCCGAATGGTTATGTTGAACCCTCCAAGTACAGAGGCTATAGTCCTCGTCGCAGCAGTCGCGGGTTCAAATCCGACCTTTTGCTGCACGTCATTCCCTACTGTCTCCTTCCAACACTTCCTGTCTCTCTTCAGCTGTCATATCCTATAACGGCAAAAATGGCCCAAAAATATCTAAAAAAAAAAAAAAAGAAGTTGTATCCTTGTGAATAATAAATTAATTCAAGCAGCAGAAAAAAAATGTAAACTGTATCATAGCACACATGTCAATTAGTTATGGTCAGATTTTCTTTCTCTTTGACCTTCACCGAGTACTGTGAGTCTTCTTTTAAAGATGACCATGATCTTCCACTGCCCTTAAACAGGCGGTCGTTTTCACCATAACCACCGTTCCCTTCACTTTTACTGAGCCCTTTTTATCCCTGAGAGAAGAAAGAATCAGAAGAAAAAGGTTAAAAACTCTTTCTGTCTTTAACTCTGGAGAGCTTGTTGTCCGGTGACGTGCAGGGGTGTGGCTGCGTTTCTGTGGAAATGTCCCCGGGGTGTAAGTCTGCTCTGTGTGACATATGACTAATGCTCGCTGTTTAGCAGTTTATTATCATATTTACTGAACGCAGCAGATGAGTTTAATGATTATCACCTGGTTTTTATGTCACCACACACTGAAAGGTCGCATTACTGCTGCTGCTGCTGCTGCTGCTGCAAGAACAAGACACTGATTACCACCAGGCATCATGTAGTGTGTCTGCTCACAAGGTTGTAAATTCCCACTTGGTGCATGATGGGAAATAATCTTAAAATTACTCTAGTTGTAGTCCTGCGAGTTGTTCCTGCAACTCCCGTTTCTGAGCGCACCTGACTGCATCTCTCATTGTCTGAGCACCCCTGCATGCAGCATGCTAACAGCTAACTCACATCCCGTGAGTAACGGCAGAGAGAGAGACATGCCCAGAAAAGTCCGAAGTCAACTAAGCCGACTGCTTTATTTTCTGATGCTTCTTCGGGGCGAAACTCCGGAGTGCGCGACACAGAGAGCAGAGGAGAATTGTAAACGCGCAACCATGTAGAGACAGAAATGACATGGCGTCGTGTAAATACGATAAATAACATAAGGCTATTAAGTTTGTTTAATAAAAGGAAGGGGTTTAGACCTGTTCTATAGGAAATGTATCCTTATGACTTCTGTTGTGATCTGGTGCTATATAGAAAATAAAATGAACTTGACCATCAAGGGGGGCGGGGGGGTGCTGTTGGGGGGGTGGGCCGCCCCCCGAATATAATGGTAGGGGAAACATTTGAGACCGTGTCCTAAGCAGAATTCACTACAACAGCTGTTCTTCATTGTTGAGAACAGCAGAGGCAAATTAAGGAGCCGACAACTTAAAACACTTCCATTCAGGTCCTCAGAGATTCTAGAGATCCATTCAAATACTTAAATCCCAGTGGTATGCCGTGATTGTGAACTGCACCATTGGCCAATTATCTGTTAAAACTGTCTTCACAGCTTTGCATTCAGAGGGTGTCAGACATTAGTCTTTTAAAGTCCTTGTAAAGTTGTTTCAAGGTCTTCTAGTGTATGGGAGGCAGTCCCCGACTGTAACCAGAGATATCTGCTGTCTACTGATTAACAGGATGAGACGGACAGTAGAGGTCAAAGAGTACAAGAGATGTAGGAGGGATCGGACTGAAGGTGTAAAAAGTAGGGAGAAGAAGAGGAAAAATAATATGGAGGGAGGGTATGTTGGGGGGGTAGGGGCTCCTGGCATCCACCAGTTCAGGGCTGATTTGGATGCGGAGTCATGTGGGCTTGGCAGGGGCCCACTTCATTAGTGTCCTGATGCATTAGAGGTGAGGAGAGAGGAGGCGGAGGGAGGAGAACGTGTTAAAGTGTGGCTGAAGAGGAGGAGAAGACAGTTTTAAAAAAAGGAGAATTTAAGGTATGAAAGAGGAGTTATAGGACGAGAGAACGAGATGAACTCTGAAGGAGCCGGGCGGTCCTGTGTGTGTGTGTTTGGCTCTGCTCGGTAACATCACCATTAGTGCATGAGGGAGACCAGGCCCCGCTATGTGTGCATGCATGTGTGTGTGTGTGTGTGTGTGTGTGTGTGTGTGGCGATTGATCCAAGAGTCCTTGCTGTCGAGTCAAATCAGCTCAGAAATGATGAAGTCTGTGAGTAAGGAGGGTGGGAGACGTCAGCTTACCCCCCCTCTCCATCATTTACCCACAATTTAGTTATTAAGTGTCTGAGTGAGTTTGTGTTCGTGGTGCTGATGTGTGGTCCTCATTAGGGCAAAGAGGCTAAATATATTTTTGTTGTGGCCTGTTGTTCCAGTTTTCTCACAGTCTGTTCTTTAAAAAAAAAGACTTTGTGTGAAACAGAGAGCAGATTATGTGGGAGGAAAGAGAGAAAAATGTCAGAAACCTTCTGAATTCCTGTAAATTGGTCATCCCCCCCTACCAAAAATAAAACCCCTGCGAGTGAAATCGGAGCAATTTCATGGTCTGGCCTGCCCTCAATATTATTTAAGTAATACCCTGTTTTATTGAAGAGAGGGAGAGAAAAGCGAATGACTATTATCTTTATGTGGGTCCTTTAATTTTAATGCACCACAGATTTATAGCTGGGCATTCCAGTGGGGAGAACCCCTCCCTGCTCTTAAAGCGAGCGGGCGGGACACGACCGCAACGCTCTCACAACAGCCACTACCTCCTGACAAACAACCCGAAGCCCCACTTTCCCTCCCAACACTTCGTCCGGCCCTCGTCGCTGCTGTCAGAAAGCCCTCCCGCCGCTCCTGACAAGCCAGAGGATCCGTCCCCGTTCAGGGAGAGCTGCTCCACCCGTCAGAAAAACAAACACATTTCCACAGCCGCCCTCATTGTCTGTTTTATAATCTCCAGTTTGCTCTCTTCCTAGACCGTCTCATGTGGTCTTTCTGAAACCCTGTGTCTAAATGTGTCTCTGCCTCTTTGTTTGCTCTGCATATTTATTTATCTGAGTTAATAAACAGCGTGCACCATGAATCAAAAGATTTGGATATGTTTAAATGTGCAGCTCTTCCTTATCATCAGCCATTTAAAATATGTACACATAAATATTTTATACCTGAGTTTTATTTCTCAGGCTGAAACACAAATCAAGTGATTTGAAATTTGAGAGGTTGACGAAGTACAGACTGAGTGGACACAGTCTGGCCGTCACAGGCGGAACTGGCTACCAGAAGAGGCCAGGCTTTGTTCACTCAGTCATCGAGGACAAGTCGAGAGCGAACCTCACTTTTTACTGCACTTTAAGAAATATAAAGTTTTAAGAGAGGCTTTCTAATGATGTGTATCCTGAGTTTATCCATCAGAAGCTGCCCTATCTTTGTGGGGAGGAAAGTCAGTGTGCCGAATGAGCTGCAAAATATATTCATGGTTCTCCCAAATCAAGACAAGCTACACTCAATGTTTCTCAGTAATTAGACCTTTAACATATTTGACAAACACCTGCACAAGTTCTGAATTGCACAAATACTTTGGTAAGGTTTGGGTACCATTGTGCAATTGAGACATTGCTTGCATTTTTAGATGGATTCATTCCTCTCCTGATGACTTGTCTTGGATTTTAAGAAAGAAATAATAAAGAAAGAAATTACTTGTTCATAACTACTCAATTGAAAAGGATTTTGGAGTTACCTAAGGCTCGGTTCTCGAGTCCTTTCTGTTCAAACTCTTCACATTACTCAAATTAGCGTATCTTAATATGCAGACGATACTCAGATTTACATCGCAAAACATAGATTTGATTTGGTTACATTATTAATGAACCACACACATGACTTTGTCTTTCCTCTGTCACTACTCTGTCCTCTCCGATTTCTGTTTTTTTTTTTTTTTTTTTGAATGAGCTGGTTAAATAGTGATGGGGCGTCCTAAGTTCGTAAAGAGACTTCCTGGCAGACAGGTAGTTGACGTTTTACTGGAGCTAATCTCAAACACACACACACACACAGAGACACACACACACACACACTGTATTAGGTCAAAGGTACACTGGATAGAAAACAGTCTGCCTACATGGCCTTGGAGCAGGTTAATATACCGTGACAATCTGTGAGCTGTGAAACACTCACCCTCTGTCACCCTGAAGAAACTACTGTGTGCCGGGTGAGGAGATGTTAGGGATGTTTTATAAGATGTGCAGACAAGATTCAAGTCAAGACAAATTCAAACCGGATTATGCAAACAAAAATCTAACACTGTCAGATCTTCATGGCCGTCTACAAGTTTTTTTTACATTTTTGATCACAAAAGGCAAAATTCACAAAAGGACGATATCAATGTGAAAATTCAAAGGATGCCTTAACTTTGGCTTCAAAGTTCAAGCTCTGATTTATTTTTGTTGACTTATTTAAGATTTGTCGTCATTCATTTTTATTTATTTAATAACTGTAAATAAATTCCAGGCTGCAGTCTTGATCAGGGGTCACTGTGCCCCATTAATCAGATCTATTGTCTTTCTCGTCAGGCTCTTCACAGGCCACCCCCAACCCCCATGAAGGAGCACCGGCTGTCCCCCATACGAGATGAGCCGCTATCTGTCCCGGTGAATGAGGAGGTGTCACAGGCTGTGGGGGGTGGAGCTACGGGAGGAGGATGTCCACCCGGAGCAGGAGGAAGTGCTGTGAGCAACAAGAAGCCACGATCACGCACCAAGGTAAACTTATACTTCTTTCTCTGCTCATTCATTTTTGCAAAAGACTGTATATGAATCATTGATGCATCCATTTGGATTTAAGTGTGAAACTAATTCAGAAGTTTTTGGGGCTGCATTTTTTCTAATTGCCAGCAGGGGACAACTCCAACAGCTGAAAAAATAATTCAAATTGTAGAGGTGTATGAAATTGATTTAAGGCCTCAGGAAAAGTTTCCAACGTGATCAAGGTCTCAATGGCTAGTTTTATTGTTTCCCGTAACCATAGGGCTGATATTATGGTCCTGCTTAAAGTAAAATAGACGACAAAGTGTGATATGCTTCAGGGCGTGTCTACTTGAGATTGTCAAGTTGTTTCGAAGGCGACGTGAGGAATTATTCTTTTTCGGTAAATGCCTATTTCTTGGAGGCCAAAATTAGCATTCCTATTGATATGACAGTTTTAAGGATGCAGCTTGCCAGCCAAACTTGCCCTAGCATTACCCGATAATGTAGTAGTTGCAACACTCTCGCTCCAGCTTCTGTTTTTAAATATGGTTGAATATCATAGTGGAGCACACTGACTGGCCTCTTTCATTGTCTATGTGTTTCTTCCTGTTGTTTATAGGTGTCTTCCCGTGTTATGTTATCATATATGTTTATCTGTGTACCAACTATTGAAAGCTGTGACAACAAATGTCCGCCTGGGGGACAATAAAGTATTGTATTGTCAAACAGGAGAGAGACGTGGCAATGTATATCCATTCACTATAATAAAAATGATAATGGTCCAAAGTGCCAAACTGTCAGCTTCAAACTGGTAGGCCACAAATCAGGACGCTACGTTGGGTGGATATCCACTCCTCCTATATGTCAATGATTTTTGGAAGTAAGTTGGTTTAAAAATGTGATTCTCAGTCGTTGTATACTTTCTGAATACTTTTTGTTTAATCTAGATTTCCCTGGAGGCTTTGGGGATCCTGCAGAGCTTCATCCAGGATGTGGGTCTGTACCCGGATCAGGAGGCCATCCACACCCTGTCCGCTCAGCTCGACCTCCCCAAACACACCATCATCAAGTTCTTCCAGAACCAGCGCTACCACGTCAAGCACCACGGCCGCCTGAAGGAGCTGGGCGAGGGCGCTGCAGCTAGCGGAGGTGTGGATGTCAGCGAGTATAGAGAAGAGGAGCTGCTCTCAGGATCAGAGGACCCGGAGTCCAGCGAGGACGGAGCGGAGGAGATTTATCAGTCCACAGAGGGGAGCGGAGGAAATCAGCCGCCGGCCTCCTCCAGCTCCAACTCCAGCCAGTCGTCTTCAGGGAGCAACGCGGCTCAGGAGGAAGACAAGGGGCATAGCCGACCTGGAGGTGCTCTGGCTCCAGGGAGCTCCTCATCCAGTCCCAGAGAGCAGGCTGACTACCAGAGGTAGAGACTGACTCACAGAGAGGAGAGGACGGAGAAAAAAAAACAGGATAAAGAATGTCGATGATGAAAAAGAAACAAGTGACTGGTTGGGAATGGAAGGAGATGTGGCTGCATAGAAACTATGTGAGAGTAAATATCTATGTAGGCACAAAATAAAATAAGAATCCATTGGACTAACATACTGCACAGACTCTTTATAGTGACAATCTCAGACAGATTTCTGTGAAAACCTGACATGTGGATTGAATTACCTCAGCAGGTTTGCAGTGCTGTGACACAGAAGTGGTTGTGCAACTGTGAAAGACAGTTTTCCCCAAAATGATTCACTTGTAAACTTTAAAAAAACTGGTAAGTCTTTCGCTGCTCATTCCTCCAACCAACCAAGACACATCAATCAAATCTCTACATTTAGAATTGTCACAGATCTGACTCCTAACTCACCTGGAAAGCCACTCCATGAAGGCCGGACTTGCTCTGCCTCATCTTTAAATCTGAGCACAGTCACATAACACATCCTCCTTTACATGCTGGGTCGAATTCGCCCCAAAGATTGATATTTATAGACTGGATCTGGGGACTTGAAAGACCTCTACAATCCTATAAAATCCTCAGGACACACACTGATGTTGCTAATGCTGTTGCCTGCCTGAGAACGTGGATGAGAGACAACACTTTATGAGCTTCATTTCACAAAAAAAAAAAAAAAAAAGAGAAGAAAACCACCTGAAATCATCGCCTCACTGACACACTCCAGAATCACTACCAGTCCTTCTTAGCACTTACTGTTCACAAAGACACTGTGGATGTGATGTACTAAAGCCTCAGCTCCTGCCTCTCCTCTCATGGGCAGTTTGGCAGGAGGACGGCTGAGACAAATCACAAGGATGTGGCGTGAAGGGACACTCGGGCTGGCGTACCCACAATCCTGGAAACACCCGATTTAACGCAGTGAAGAAAAAAATATCAAGAAGAGGAAAGACAGAGCAGAGATTCAGCAACCAAACAATCAGTCACTTTATGAGCGGTAGTTCCTCCCTCCATCTCCCCCCTCTCCCTCTCTCTAATTGAAGCCCACAGTCTTGTGTTTCACCACACCTACCCGCACTTAAACTTCACCCACCCTATTTATTGCTATCTTTATCCATGATTATTATTATCATTATTGTTATTATTGTTGTTATTATGGTTAGAATTGCTGTCATTCTGTGCTATTTTTAGTTTTTATTTCCATGGTTTCTAAACATTGGTTTTCAGAGCTGGGCGGTGCGTCGGGGCAATAAGAGACACTGAGAGCGCTTTGCCCCGAACGACGAGGACAAGAGTAAAAGGAAAGGAAAAAGAAGCAGTTACTGAGTGTTATTGGGTGTAAAAAAAAAATCCTGTCATGTTGTATTATTCCAGTTTTTTATCAGTTTCCAAAAAAAAAATAGATAAGATTTGTTAAAAAGAGAAATAAGAGAGTGAAACTTTGCTGTTTCACCGATGTCGATGACAATCTACTTTTTTGAGCCATGAAAGAAAAGTGGCAAGTTTGACTCTGTTTGTCACTTTTGATGTCTGTAAATACCCGACACGGGATAAATTGTTATTGATATACTTTTATTTTTTATTTTGCTGAGTGACTTTAAGTGTTTGAGCCAGTGTGGAGGATCAGAAGTGCTGTTCCTTCTTTTCTTCTTCAGGACGACGCCATGAAATCAGTTCGATTCATTGTGACGGGAAAAATAAAATCACGAGTATTTAAAAAAGGATTCGTTAGGGCTGCTTTGTCAAAGTCTAACATTTGGATCATATGTAAAAAAGATCCCCAAGTAGACCCTCTCTTTGTCAGTCGAATCTACACTTCTGTTAGCTGCGTTATTGAACTCACAGTAAAGCCAAAAACAGCATGACATGCTAAAAACAGAAACTTATTCTTAGGTTTTTATCCATCACGAGGTTTTTGGTGAAAGCTAAATTTTAAACACAGGTCTTTCACTGAAACCTTGATAAACTCTGTAAACACATTTCAATGTGAGAAAAGTCTGCTTTTTTACAATGCTGTTTTATGGGAGGCACAAGGCATCAGAGGGTCCGCAGGCTGAGCTACAGCTAGCTTTTTTAACAGATCTGGTGATTAAAACAGGTAAATACAAGGGATACATTCCCCTACGTAAAAATCATTGTTTCTGAAATGCTTTGCGGCAGACTGGAGGCGTCAGACTGGGCTACCAGCTGAGCTGCTGAAAACCTGTTTTTAGTTGCTCAACTCTTCTGGGGGCTGAAAATCAATCAATGATTATGATGATCACTAAATAAAAAACAGAAGAATAAATAATGAAGTTTCACACCTGTCGAGGCCCAGGGAGACACAGGGTCTCAGTAGAGGATACGAGCTGAGCTGCTACTAGCTTGTTACTAGTTGCTCAGTTTATGATTCCTTCCGTGTTTAAACCAAATTAACATCAGAGATATCCTCTCCAAATCACACAGATCTGGAAATAATTGAGTTTGATGTTAAAAAATAATTATTCCAAGATGCTTTTTCCAATATAAACACTGACCTCTGGAGGGGCTGCTAGCTGAGCTGCTTGGAGCTTGTTTCATCATGTTCAGGGTATTTTTAGAATATCTTCAGTTTTAAGTCTCGCTAGGTTTTCACCATGAGAAACGTTAAGTAAAAACACTGACTTAAGCAGTTTCAATTAGAAATCGGTGTATTTGTGATAATCTTTTTGACAGGGCTTTGTGGAAAGTTAGCCAGGCAGCGCTAACCATAGCTCACTAGCTTAGAAAGAATTGTATATCTGATTAAGTTCTATAATTCAAAGGACTGTCAGAAACCAGTCATCTGTTTGTTTTTGTTTTTTTAAAATGCCCAGCAGTCAGCCGGAGCGTTTGGAAAACTCTGGTTTATTTGTCCTAAAGTTAAAAACATGCGACTCATGGAGGCTGATTTAAAAGTTCAGCTTGAGTATTTGAAGCTTTGCATTAAAACGCCAAATCTGATTCGACTGACAAAGTTCAGAGTTGGGTACAGCCCGTGTGTTCGTCCTGTTTTTTGGTTTTTATGTCTGGTGCAGTTTTGTAAAAAATCTAAGATATGTTCAAAACAATATCTGAGACTGGATGGAGTCTTGTTGTCTGACTGTCCTGATCAGCTGCTACACTCCAACATGACCTTTTCAGTGATCGTTCCGTACGATGATATTGTGCTTTTCTGTTTGACAGGAATCAGGGTTTGACTCAAATGCAGTTCCAATGAAATCTTAAGTCCATCCAGTGTTGAAGTGAATAAAAAATTTGTGAATTAAAAAAACAACAACAGTGTGTGTTTTCATTTGCACGACATTATTTCTGTGAGACATTTTTATGGCTTTGCACAGTCACACAAACATGCACGCTGTAGCACGGCCAAGCCTCCCTCCAAACAGCCAATCAATTATAAGTGTGTGTAAAGCCACAGGGGCGGCTAATAAGAGTGACAGTAATTCACACAGAAACTCGGCCAGCACCTCTCTCTCTCGTCCCACAACATTAGAGCAACTGGAAGCTGCATGGTCCAGCTTTACCCAGCACTGAGAAATCCCACCGTCCCTGAAGTTTACTTTCCTCATTGTTTCTGAAGACAATGTAAGAAAACGAGGAAAACTACCTAAACGAGCGGTGAAATTATATCTGTACATGAACAGAGGTCATAGGTGTTTGCTTTGGAATTTGCTATCACAGAAAACTGGGCTTGATATTATAACTGGCCCAGGAAACGATTAGAAAGACTCTGGGCCAACTGATTACAAGTTCCGCTGGCCCACTTTGGCCCGGTTAGAACACCCTTAAAATAAATTAACTTCATAATTCACATCGTTTTCCTGCTACTATTGCTGCTGGTTTTGTTCAGTGATTCGTCGTGCAACAGCATCAACGTTTCGTTAGCGGCCTGTGTCATAGTTAAAACACCAGCTTCACTGCTGTCACTCCTGCGAGTGCGCTCACTACACTCGGACACTGATTGTATACAGGTTTTCTCTCATAAACTGCCTGGTCAGGTAAACTGTTTTTTTTTTTAACCACCAGGTCTCATTTAAAGGCTGTGCAAAAATCAACATTTAGAAAGAAAAAAAAGGAAATCGCCTGAGGGGTCTTGACCTTGTATTTTGTTTCTCGTCTTCTGACTACTCAAAGCTCTTTTACACCGCAGGTCACACCTACACATTCACACACTGATGGTAGAGGCTGCTGTGTCTTGCCCATGGACACATCATACATGTGACTGCAGGAGCTGGGATCCAACCCCCGGCCTACCGATTGAGAGACGACCGACTCTACTAACTGGGGCCATTTTGAAGGATCAAGCTTGGCTTACAGTTTCCATAATAAGAAACAAACATAACCTCACCCAGAATGTTTACAGAAAGGAACTAATAATACTTTTAGATTCTTAAGTATAAAAGACTAGAATTACACAGTAGGGAGGCTGTTGTGGATTTGGGTTTTTGGTGGTTAGCTTCATTGAAGTCATTGAACCGCTCAGCAGGCAATCCAGTTTGAGGTTATTTATTAAAGCACGAGAGCAGAGCACAATCAAACATAAACACACTAAACATTACACAAAGACCAACTGAAGGACGACAGGACAATAAGATAGTAAAAGGTCAAAATGGAAACTCTAATGCAGCAAACAAAGCCAAGAAATAAAAGGTTTGATTTGAGTTAATGTGGAGACTTCCAAACAATCGGAGGCAGAGCGATCAGAGCTTTAAAGGTTTATAAAAAATATATGAACAGAAGTCTGTCAATCAGGATGGGTGAGCGTCCTCGAAAAGTTTAATAAAAGTACTTATGTGACAGACGCCATGTCACAATCAGAGAGAAACACACACACACACACACACACACACACACACACACACACACACACTTCAATTGCATCCCTAAGTAGTTTCAGCTCTGATGAGGTGAGGCTGCGCAGAACAATGTTGGTGTTTAACCTGCCACCAGGGGTTGGGTCAAGCATTTAGAGCGGGTATCAGTGTGTGTGTGTGTGTGTGTGTGTGTGTGTGTGTGTGTGTGTGTGTGTGTGTGTGTGTGTGTGTGTGTGCATGTGTGTGTGTGTGTGTCAGTCTGACTCCCTCAGTAAACAATAGGCTTTAAGTGTTGGTGATGAGCTGGGGGGTCGAGGTCGTCCTGCAGCAACGTTTTTCTCCCAGCTTGTCTCCTCTTGCTGAAGAAGACAATCAGCTGGAGCTGAGACTCTGCAGTGTGTGTGTGTGAGAGGGGGGTTATTATACCTGCTGAGATACACCGATGGCTCTCTGTTCCCCCCATCCCTGAATTATACGTACAGTAAATCCTGTTTGTCTCCACGATGAAGCTTCCCTAACAAAGAGAAGTGTTTGATTTTCCTTCTGGAATTCTTAAAGAACATTATCAGTCTGTAAAACCTCTCACCTAAGGCAGAGGACGTCACAGTGTCACATGTTGTTCGTAGTAGACGGGTATTACCGCGCTCCAAAGTGTTTGTAGATCATTTTTAGAGCCCAAGCTCATTGGCAGGAATGCCGGTATGCCTGAAGGCTCAGCCATCAACAATTCACTTTTTTCATGTTTACTATTTGGGGTTTTTATGCCTCCAGTTTTAGAGACAGGAGAGTGGGGAACAACATGCAAGAAAAGGGCTACAAGTCAGATTCGAATCCGGGCCTCTGGCCTGGAGAACCACACACTCTGTGCTACCTGCCTGTCCAACAGGAAGCAGACCAACTCCACGTCCACCGGTAAAAGCCAACACAAGGTTCACCCTCATTTTAGAACAAGCTTTATCCGCTTGGTGTTTCTCCTTACTCTGATTATATTTTCTCTTCTTTGCTGCTACGTCCACGTCCGTCATATTCACCGGTTTGAATCACGTCCAATCACTGAATTGTATCCACTCCTAAACTCACCTGCTGCACTGTCATTGGCTGGAGGAAACACACCAGCTCCGCCCACAAACGTCCCGAGTCAACCAGAACAAACCAGAACAGTAAAATCCAGTCGGAGGACAGGGTCTCTGCAGACACAGTCACCACCACACATGTATGGAGGCCCAGAAGGGACGATGGAGCTTTACTTTAGGAGAAGTCTGTATTTTATATTGAAGGAAGAAGCTGCTGACTCTTTCTTTAAATATGGATATTCGACTGCCTTGCATTTGATCCATTTATGAAAATATAATGTTTTACACAATTTTAAAAACGCAGCTAAACCCGAGGTCATAACGAGGAATCAAAAACAAACAGAGAAAACCAACTGGTGCATCTTAAAGAGAGGCAGCTGTTGTCTTTCATTTCATCTGTAAAGTTGATATTTTCATTATCCAGCAAATAGAAAACTGTCATTTTTTCCTTCTCTTCCACATGAATCACTCCCCTCTGTCTCTCTCCCTCCCTCTCTCTCTCTCTCTCTCTCTCTCTCTCACTCTCTCTCTGAGTTTATATTTACCCGTCCAAGTTAACCTTGGACTGACTCGTTTCATGATGTTCAAAGGCTTCCAGACTGTTTCCGAGCGTCTTGTCTTTTGAACAATGTTGAGCATTGTGTATAAACTTGAATAAGGATTGGCTCGAGGGAGGAGGAGGAGGAGGGCGAGGGGGAGGAGGAGGAGGGCGAGGGGGAGGGGGAGGGGGAGGGGGAGGAGGGAGAGGGGGAGACGTGGCCACAGGAACCAAATATTGCTTCATTTGTACACAATCAAAGAAAACCAGGAATGGAAAAAAATACTACCCAAGAGGCTTTTTTTGGGTGGAATTTACTGGAAATTGTGGATGACAATGCAGCTTCCTGTGTTTATACAGTAAAGGAGGCGACTTTTTAAAGGCATTATTACCAAAGACGGGAGCTTTGGATGTTCCAGGAAATCAAAATATAGACTTTGACAGAGCAATGGCTGGCTAACACGCAAGATTTCATTTGAACTAATCCACCTCAAACCGAGTCAAAGGAGAATATTATGCACGATGAAGCTCATAAGTGGTAATGCTATTCAAAGCAGGCCGACTCGTCTGCATAAACTGGACTGAAATGGAGTTACTGAGGAGTCCTCTGTGGATGCTCCTGCAAGACCAATGTGATAAACACAGAGAAGAACATTCGACTCTCAATAATCCATCAGCAGATATTACGGGGAATAAGACTTTTTGGATGGAAATGCTTCTCTCGCGTGAATTAGCTTTCGCCTGCAAACAGAACGGAAGTCCTGATTAAGAAGTTCTCGTTTCGGTAATTAAATTCACGAGTCTGATTATTTAGACTATTTTCACTGCCCCGCTAATCAAAATGCTAATCGTATCGATGAAAGTCTTTGTTCCAGGGAAACTTTTTCAGCAGTTGTGGGAGTTCCCCCTTATCCGCTGACCGAGACGGAGTCATGTAAGCTCCCATACAAAAATGTTGTCTCTTGTTTTTATAGCATTTTATCAGACTGGGAAAACAAAGAAACAATTATATCTGACAATTATATCTTTGAACCGATAAAAGGCTGAGGAGTTATGAGGCGACTTTTGATGTAATAAGAGCGGCCTCCCTAGCAACTGTCTGCCTTTCTTAGTAACTGTTTGTTCTTCTTAACAATTTTTAAATCTTCCATTTCTAGTCATCACAAATAATGAAATGTCTTGATTGAGGTCATTAAAGGGCCCGTATCAGTCCACCTGCTGCTGGTTGAATAGGTCTGATGTACGTTCTTGACCCACACAGCGGGGGGCCACAGGTGTGTGAGGCCTCTCCGCAGAGATCCCCCCTTCCGATGCTTCATTGTGGGTAATAATAGTTAGCAGCAACAGCTGTGCCCCTTCTCCCCTCTTTCACCTCTAATGTTCTCTCATCATCCCTCGATCAGACTAATACCCTGCAGCGGTGCCCTCGCAGCTGTCGGAGGAGCCCTGGGTGCAGAGACAGCTGTCAATCTCTCTGTGGCTAATTCACACACAAACAAACACCAGCACAAGCCAAGAAAAATATCTGCTTAATGATTTAGCCATTTGATGACATCCTGTGAAGAGACTTTCAAATGACTTCAATGAGGAATGAGAAGAGATTGTCCCCCAAAAAGAATGACCCCCCCCCCCAATACTTTCCTTAGAGTCCCTAAAATGAGTCTTCTTTGTTTTAGCACTTCTGTAGCTGTAATGTACTTATTGTACATAAGTACCTCATGCAACCCCACTTAAAAAATGCTGTACTATCCCTTTAAATTTGGAAATCAGGAAGCACCAGTAACTTTGGGATGTCATATAATAACCTCATCATCTATTCTTATTCCTCACATCATCAAGTTTTGTC